TGTAAAGAATATAGAAATGAAATAATATATTTACTGTTATGTACCTATAATTTATTTTAATTATTACAGGCGGGCTGAGGAAAATACTGACGCTCTGCTAGATGGTGAAAAAGAGCCAGATGATAATAATGATAAGAAGAAGCAATCTCAAGATGATATCGACGAGACTGTTGCGAAATGTAAGTCATTTATTTTTTAACTTATTCATAGTGTTATAATTCAGATTCTGTATTTGATCTTAATGATTCTAATTCTGTTATTGATCTGACTAAAACATAACATCAGATGTGGGCAGTTTTATTATTTAAATTATACAAAAGTATGATTTAATTTAATTGTATTAGCGCAAATTCTCGAATTTAATTACGCAACGATAAACATTATTTGCAGTAACTTAATTAATTGATTTATCTTTCTTAATGAATTATTTTGAGGAAAATGTTTATGGCTAATTCTACATTATTTTGGGATTCGGTAGTTTCCAACTACTCTAATTCAATACTTTTATCCAAATGTCAAAAACGATACTTTTTTATGAAGTTTGTATGCAACTCCAAATTATGACATCAAAGTATTTTTGCATAAAATAGCTTACTTATTTCTTAAAAATTAACTAAAATTATCGAAAATTTAGTATGTCGACAGATCGATGATTAAAGTATAGTTATTTTTCAATATTACATATTATTGAAATGTTGAGTTAATTCATTTTTGACCAAGGAAATCCAATCTTGTACAAACGAGTGTGTTATAAATACGTTCTTGTCGGCCGCAGTGCTGGCGCGCGCGGGGGCCCACATGGAGCACAGCATGGTGGGCGCGTACATGGCGCTACTGCTGGGCCACGCCGCCTGCTCCGCGCCGCAACACGCGCGCGCCGTCCGCGACCGCGTGCCGCTCTACGCGCCCTTGCTGCCCACGCTCAACAAGTACTACGCCTTCCTCTCGCTCACCGCCAGCGTAAGTATCTACTCTACTACTCACTAATCCAAATCAAAGTCAAAATAATTTTTGATTCCAACTAAACCTTAAATAGGTTCTTTTGAAACGTCAAAATAGAAGTCAGTCTGTTCGCCAGTGAAGTTAGGTGGCAATATAAAAACCTTCATTGTTTGCTTACTTGCTAGTTATAATTACCTAAAGAATAAAAAAATACTAAGTTCGGTTCGACCCAAGTTATACCAAAGGAGAAGCTTTAAAAACCCGGGGCACAATGACGTGTGTGAGGACCGGAGGCCCAATTTCAATTTGTTCCCAAATGCGTCAAATCTTTGACCCCGGGCGAGGATCCACGTGAGACTCGCAACGGTTTCTGAAAGGCTTGTCAACGCTAAAATTAACTAATCTCCTGTTAAATCTCTTGTCAAGTCATCAGATTGGTTGTTGATAGTTCAGTCAACCAATAAGATGATTTGACAAGAGAAAATTGATTTTAACATTGAATGGCCTTTCGGAAACCGGGTGATAATGTCTTTTCTATTGTTTGTCATAAACAAGAGTTTAATCTATATCTCTATCCCTTAAAAGCTGACAACACATTTGCAACTTATCTTGTGTTTCGAGTATCCATGGGCGACGCCGATTGCTTACAATTGGCTGATATTATACTTGTTTGCCGTTCTTAAGCATAAAAAAACACAGTTGTTCTTTCAAATGTTAAGCGAGTGCCCAGAATGCGGCCCATGACAACACCACACTACACTAAATGAAACTAAACATTTTTTTGACATAGTGATTCCCAAAGACTTGCGTGCTAAGAACTTAGCTATGTACTAAATATAATTCACGTGCCCAATAACTGATAGTTTCAATGCCTATTCAGTGTAAAAATGTTACAGCATTATGCGCTAAGAGAATAAAATAAATAATATGTGACGTAAAACTGCTGTACCAAAAATATAGGCATGATGAGTCTTTTTACCAGCCAGAAAATTTTTCGTTATTTTTCGCCAGCCGTTTTTCACATGACTTTTGGGAACTAATAATTCATTTCTGAACTTAGTATTTTATTTAGATTCAATTATGAATGGTTTATTGTTTATGAACACTATTAATTTTAAGTAAATCTGGAAAGATTTCCTAAATAAAACCATTCTCTAATAAAGGTATTACTAAATTTTGTACTGAATTAACGGAAGTATAGTCAAAAATAATAACTTATTCGATTATTTTCCCGATGTTGCAGGCTGAAGCAGCTATAGTGGCGCACGTGAAGGCGACGCACCGCATCATCAAGTTCATGGAGGCCAGCGACAAGGAGGCGGCCGAGGCGGAGCAAGGCGCGGCGGCCGACGTGCCGCAGGACATGTCGCTTAGCAACCTCAACTACTCCGCGCACTCGGCGCACTCCACGCACTCCACCTACTCCAGCTCTGACCGCCACTCCTCCTCCATGGAGCTGGACGGCTACCACTGAGCCCGGCGCCCCGCGGTGCCCAGTCTCTCACCGAGCCATCCAGGCTCCTTTGTCGCTGAGCGACAGATCGAGGAGACCGGCCCGACAGGAATAGTCAGCTTCTGCGTCGCTCCGGTCGCTAGAGATAGAAGCCTGAGATCGCGCGCGATTCGCCTGCAGTTGTAATCGTAAGTTTGGTTTATAAAGCAAATCGTTAGAGGTAGTGGGAATGTTTTAAGATACACGGAGATTTATTATTGTTCTGTTGGCTGATAGAGTTTATGTAGGATATTGGATAGTGTTGAGAAGCGTTGATTTCGGCGTGCGATTCCTATTTCCTGATGGGAATAACACGTGGTTCTGTTAGTGCATGCATATGTGTCTTAACATATAACTAAGCGACTAGTAATTCTGAATCTTAAGTTGATCCTTGTTGAAAGACTTGTAAATACGAACCAAATCAACTAAGTAATCCTTGTATATTGTAAACAGCCTATAGCAATAGTATATGATATGCCATTTGTAAAAGTGAAACCAATATAATAGGTGGTGGACGTTTGTTTGCACGCGACTATTATAAGTACCTTCTTCTCTTTGTATCGATACTTCTTCCTTCTCTTTGATATTGTAAATATAAATCACAGACTGTTAAGATGATAGTTATGTTGACGACATAGATATGGGTTATGAAGTCTTAATTAAATTGAGATATTCCGAGTTTAAGCCACTGAACTGGCAATATAAAAGTGCAAAAATAGTCGAGTAAGTGTATAATAGATATGTATTCTTTTATGTGAATATTGTGTCTGCACTTTTTTGTATTATACCGCTCCGAGAGAGTTACAAATTATTAGAGTATTGTTCTATCGAGGCACAATTGTTTATTGTAAATAAATTTTAGCTAGTACCAATAGTTCGGTCTCTGTTGAGTAAATTTAGAGTAGGAAAAGTTGATGGTGTCCGGATATGTTGAGATGCATAGACGCGGCCGCGACATCGCTACGTCGCGCACGATTCGCTGTCTCATGAGATGGTACAAAATGTACAAACACTAACTTTGATAGTCGCTCGCTAATGAGAGAATGACCTATGCTTAGATATTAAAAAAGTAGGACAATTTATGATGTTGGATTTTTAAACAGTTTTAGAATTAGACAGCGTCTAAGAATATTGTTTCCTTTACATAGACTTGTTTGCAAGACTCCATTTTCACAACTCGACTGATGTCCATTAGGCAAAATTTTATTTTTACGATTGAAATGTTAGGACTAATTAATAAGGCACATAAATTACTTAATTTATCTAATATCGTATATTAGATGTTTTTTAACCAAGAATTCGAATATGTCTGTAATATTTAATGTCGGAAGTTTTATGTTTGTCAGCAACTGCAGTGCACTGGAGAAACCTTAGTTCCTTATCATTGAGTTGGCAAGCAAAACTGAATATAATCTATGTTTGGTGATTGTTGAAATGAGTCTTTGTTGTTCTCGTCCCATCTATTTCTAAGAATTTGTTATTTGGCACATTGGTTTTGGCTCTGCGGCACTAAACACGTTTGACGCTGTGTGAGTAACAGAACTTCATTCCTAAAATTAATTGTCATGTTAGATGTAACACTCGTGTTTTGATGCATTTTGTGCTGACCCAAACGATAATATCGTGATGTAAGGGAACGTGAATCGTTGTTATATGTGATCACCGACTCGTGCGGTTACACGGTTCGCTTCACTTCAAAATAGATGTGATTCTAAAAGCGAGAATGTACAGAGTCACATCTGAACCTCGTTACCGTGTGACGACATTTTCTGACAGCTTTACTTTATTTATAAGACATATTTTTTAAGTTGACGATTAAGTGGGTGTTATATTTTGTAACCGATGTTGTTAACTCACTGGACATTGTTTCACAGCTGGGGTAAACTATTGAAAACGACCAGGGGTTTCCTTTTCGTTTACTTCTTGTACAGCTATCATTTTATCGCCTAAATTATATTTACGTAATTTATTGACATAATATATGTATCTATCGACTAAGCGTAGCTCTAAAGTGCATTTCGTTATAAATTTTCATCTTTTATCACCTGTGTTTTAAATAATGTGTTGTTTAAACTATCATCACGAGAGTTTGATATCTTGAGAAATTATTATTGTATATGTAATGTGTAATTATGTTATAAAGTATTACGTGTAATTATTAAAAGAAGACAATTTAAATAACTGTTTAGTTTTATTTCATAATGCAGTACCATGTTTACATTTACACAGGCACTAACAACTATGAACAAAAGGAACGTAACAATCTAAAAGTTAATAAATTATCGTATGTGTCAATAAAAACATATTCACAATATCAACCACCCGCTAAAAGATACAAAAATCTAGTTCAAAACTTTTACATAAAATCAACTGAATCGAGCATGTTTTATTTTTTCCCTATATTTAAATTGCAAGGAAGATATCAATATTTTAGCTCTATATTCAACTGTTACTACACACATAAACTACTATCAATTCACAACGTATAGATAAACTACAACAACAACAAAGAAAACAATCAAAATAGAAATCAGGTAACACTAAAATATTGTAAATAATATTGTTATTAAATTCTATCTACGGCGTCCACGCGGGCTATGGCTGGAGCTCGTATGTTTTGCCAGTCACCTGTCTCTGTGTACCGTTTGTTCACTGATATTAATTGCTCAAAATTGGCCTTCGCTAGTTTATGTTTATTCCCAACCTTCTGCACCAATTCTTCATCATACACTACTTCAGGATCCTCTAGTTTCAAATGTGCCTTCATTTCTTGAACAGTAATTAGGAAGCAGTTCCACGGTGACCAGTCCTCCTGTACTCGCCATCTACACAACCGCAGCTCATTGACATCATCGCATTCACTAATGGCTGAATGTGAATGCCAAAGCTTCTCTACTATAAAGAAAATGTCTTTTTCTTGAAGAACAAATGCTAAAGATCCCCAACACTTTCGGCGACGCTCATCGCGTTGTACTGCTCTCAAGATAAACTTGTAAGGCGTCATGTCTATCCAGCTACGCTCGTTTACGTCTTTCCACGAACACGATTTGCAAATTAAACACCCGCTCATCCTCGTATTCAATGGGAAATCAGTGTAAGGTTTAACCTGATGACATAATTCGCAAAAGTAGAGATTTCCATTCTGCATTTTTTGGTAATCTCTTATATCCTTATGTTTGGTTACGCCAGAATTTAGTTCCGACGTTTGTATTAAACGGAAGACGGAACCAGCAGTTCTTCGTCTTAAAAATTCTAACTGATGTGCGTTATATCGCCTAACTAGTAGATCGGCTTCTTGATCCAGAAGAGTAATAATTTCTTCAGCCAGTGGATGACGAAATTCTTGCAATGAGAATTTGAAATCCACCAGAAGTTCCAAGCGCTCTTTAGTTTCCATGTCGTTTCGTATAAATGAATTATAAAGCTCTTTTAATCTTTTAGCTTTCTGTGTTTCAACTGTTTCCATCGTAATTAATTTTCCGCTGCGGCCATACCATGCAACGGGTTTCGATATTTCTTCTAAAAATCTTTTTTCTTTAATCTTCCGACTATCTTCCTTAACTTTTACTCTGTAATCTTCAATGCATCTCAGTAATTCCACTTCCTTATCGAGAAGCAACGAAAATTCTGCTATTTTTGGTCCTTTTGCGTGTAATTGTGATATTCGTGCTATTTCAGCATGTTTCCATCGATCAACCTGGAAAAAGTATAAAAGAGCTCTTAACCTAAATAGTTTAAGAGAAAAAAATAACAGTGCGTAGCTAGTTTTATAGTTCTTTCTACATAAGTACCCTGGCTGCCAGTGCCCAGGTAAATTAGATGAATGATACATAATTACAAAATGTTCCACAAAAACGTCCTACACAACGATTACCTACTACGACCATTCCGACTGTGACTTACCTTTGTCTGCTGTTGAGAGAAGACTCTCAACAGCAGACAAAGGTAAGTACACACCATACAGTTTTGTTAACTCAAATCAAGAAAATAAATTAATGTGCGGTTAATCAAGTTATCTACAGTCGGGATTGGGGTTGCATTTTTGCGCATGTATCGCGGCCCCAAAGTTATTAAATTTGATGGCCTATCCTCGTCCAAAAAAAACGCTTACTCTTGTTGGGATGTAAGGGAGTATAGGCAGGAACAACACCTTAGTGTAGTTATTTTTAATAAATGAGATGATCAACTCACCATGGCGTATAATTGATCAAAATCTTCACGAGTCTTCGGAAACGTCTTGGTGATTAGATCTCGCCGTAAACGTCGTTCCATAGCTTCTTTTTCCAACCTATCTTCCTCTTTCATTCTTTCTATTCTTTCCCTATAAAAAGATTTTTTTTTGTTTTAATATAATTTTAATGAACAAATGAACAAGATAGTAACTATTCTTCTAATCTTAGAGGTTATCGTGAATCGGCCGTTTATAAGTCAGGGTACAATTACCACCCTGATTCCTAATCATCCTAGGGATAACTTTAAATCTTCATCGATAAACCAGTCCCGACTATCAGCAAGTCGAAGCCCTGACTTCACAGACTAAATTCTAAGTAGGATGGTCAATCAAATAATAGATAACTGGAGTTCTAGCGTGACTTAACGTGGAACGAATTCCGAGATGTTTTGATATATGTATCTACGTAAGTTGCAATAGGTACATATCTGTGTAAAGACACAACAATTTTTTTGGCTGATTAAGATAGTTTATGCCTAATTATTATAATTTTGCCTTTTAGTTTAAAACCAAACAAATTATTAAATGGGAGGTCCTAAGTCTAGTCTAGTCCAGAGGGCCTACCATGACGTGTTAAAAGGTCTATAGCTCCATCCCTCTTTCTCGCCCGAAGATTCACGCTTTAACATTTCATGGTAGGCCTACAGGTCAGAAGTTTTAAGTAAATACGATTACATACTTGCATTCCGCTAGCCATCTTTTAACAAATTTACGAAACTTGTGTGTTCTGAAAGCACGTTGTATTATTGACGCGTAATGTGTGTGATTTAGTCTAATCACCATCTCTTCATATGTTTCGTAAGGTTTCGGGACCACTATTCTATCGGTTACGTTCGGAATATATGCGTGAACGCTGTTCATTTGCGTTGCACGACTGTAATTTGTGTCCTGAAAAGTAAATTTCAGATATAAGTACAAGTATCAAATGTCGAAGACGGATAGATACCTATGCTGCTGTTTAATTAGCACCATATTTATATATATATTTTAAATAATCATAGGGTAAATGTATGATAACTATGTTTATATAATACGTATATAGACTGTTACGTACATAAAGTTTTTCCTTTTCTTCTGCTGTCTGTGTGTCTCGACAGTTTTTCTCTTCTGGACGTAATTTCTCCGGTTTTTGTGGTGTTTGAGTATACGCATGGTGATATATGGTTCCTGTAAAATCAAAGACAAAGTCAATAAAATCATTTATGCGAACCAATGTCTTGAAAATCTAATAACTTATGTTCCTAAGCGGATATCAGTGCCCTCTGTGACGTCATAGCTTCGTCGCGTTTTCATCGCTCAAAACCCTAAGCGGATACCGGTGTCCTTTTTCACCCACTTCATCGTAGGCCATAATTTCTATACTTAGATTAAATGAAACTACATATAAACTTGATGAAACATACTGATTAAATCATGATATATTTCAATTACAGATTTTGAAGTTGTTTTTACGCTAGGAAATGAAGAGTACCAACTTATAAGATTTTTAATCCATCCGGAATTACGCCCATTTCAAAGTTTTCATAGATAACATCTAAAAATCAAAATTATGGTACTTGGTTTTTATAGATATTTGCAAAACACTAAAGATTATTAAGTGTGTGAATTGGTATTGATTCAGTTTTGCATCAATACCTAAAACTCAAATACTTCAATAAAATACCTGTATGCACATTCTTATATCCTCCTAGGTAAGGTTTTGTCATTGGTTCAGAAAATATTTCAACATTAATCTGCTTGATCGTACTTCCAAACGGCACCGTTACACTCAAAACGTCATTTACTGGTATCTCTTTGTATAGTTTTTCTAAGTTCAATGTTGCATTATTTGTCGTAAGCACTTCAATCTCAGCTATTCCATATTTGTCGTAATCGAGATCCATAAGAGCCATGCGATCTTTTAGTGGATTATCTCCTCGTAGAAACACCAGAACGGCAGGGTCTACTTGAAAGAGCTCTCCCAAATTTTTCTTTATTTCATGAACTTTCATTATAGAATGGTAGGAACGAGTAAAAGTGGCATTCTGATTTGGTACCCTGAACTTGATTGCGATAAAAGGCATATCTTTCTTTTTTGGAAGTACTGCATGAAGTAATTCGTGGACGTACGATTCTTTTGGTATTGAGGACAGTGAAAAGTCCTCTGAATCCTTTGTAAACACGTCGACAGAAAGGTTACCAAGAGGATCAGCCTTAAGTTGTGACAAGATACTTGTCTCCTTCAATACATTTCTATTCTTAGTTAATATTAGGTTACTATTTGATACACCCAGTAATTTTGCTAGTTTACGTTTTACAAATTTTACTGGTGTCGATGCTGGAAATACTTTGCTGAATACATCAGTGGGGTTTAGAGGCGACTTAAAAGTGACTAATATGTGGCTTATGGGGCATGTCAACTGATCAGCCTCTCTTGTAGTCGGTGCAGTTGGATATCGAGATTTGGTCTCATCCCCAGACGGTGTGGTTTTGTAAGGTGGGGCTGTTAGCAATTTCTCACGACCTAAATCGCACTGGCACGCGGTTGCCCCTGTCTCACTTTGAGGATTGGGGGAGATTCCTAATAGTTTATGCACGTCCAATTTCTTCATTTTAACAAACTATTGTGTATTTCTCTACAAACACCAAATAAACGGTAAAGTTAAGACTAATCCTTTAAAAAAATGTACAATACTAGACATAACAAACAAGTGTAGATAGACTTTGTTTTTGTTGCTAAGTTACAACTATTGACGGTTGCCGAGTAATAATCAACAATCAACCTGCGTGCCCCCCTTATTATTCTTTTTGGTCTGCATTTATGCACTATGCATGACTGTGTCTATGGTCTGTTACTAGTGATAGGCCCACTTTATCTTATTTATAATTATTTAAAAATATAAAAAAATGTGATCCACCGGGGTGTCGGGAACAGGGTCCTAGCTACCGGTGGTCAGGGCTCCAGAAAAAGGAAGTAACCTACAGACAATACGAGCGTGTCGTGTGCCTGTCCAGGAGTACCCATTGCATGCTACCTAACGAGAGCTTCCTAAGATGTTGATCGAGGCTCCTAGCTATTAAGCCATCGGCTGACAAGACTATCGGTACAATGATAGACGAATCCACTTTCCACATGTCCACTATATCCATTCATTCTTAATATAGTCTAAAAACTAAGAGTTTTTTAGCTATCCTAATTTTCTGCGAAAACACATGAAGCTATCTGTGAGTCCGGTATCCGACTGATTACATTGATTAGTGATTTCTAGGTCCCCACAGAACGTACTGAGTTGTAGATTTGTTTTTAGGTAATTTATTTCCTAATCAAATCTGATGAAATATATAATACCTATGTACTTCTTAATAAAACACGGCGTCACACTTGATACTTACAGAAAAGGTAAAGTTAATTGAATCATGGGAAGAGTTTATACTTAAAGTCTTGTTTTCAGTCAGGCGGTGAACCTACACTACAAGGCGTTGTTTGTTTTCATAAAGAGAATTAACCGCTTAGCTTTTAAAACTAACTCCTTTGAAGAATTTTATAAAAGATGCGAGTGTGCATTCAACGTTCATAAATAGGTAATTTTCTGGTTTAAAACAATTTTCTTTGTAAGTTATCTCTAAAGCAATTAGTTTTTTAAGCTACTCTTTTAAATAGGTCGGTGTACCTTTTGTAATAAAATGTTCATAGAGATTTAATATCCATTCACGGAAGTAAAATATTATTGATCTTCTATAACAGAGACCTAAGTAGGTGGTTGATAGTTACTAAAAATTGAGAAAACAATAAAATTACAGCTCAATAAAAGAGCGAATGTGCCGAGCATAGCCGGCGTGATATTAAATTCCTCCAAAAACATAAAAATGATTTTCGATCGTAAAACTATAATTTACAGACGTAAAAATGCGCTGAGTTATATGTTACTCCCAAGTCTGTGATGTGAACTAGGAATATTGCATCGCATGGCGGGTGACGCCGTGTCGCCCGCGTTGGTTATTTCACCCTCATATTTATTGTTGATCGGCAGTAATCCAAAGGCTGTTTATCTGAATTCATTTCTAGTTCAAGTTATAATAATACTTATTATTTATGGTTCCTGTTATGTTCTAAGCTTAGATTTATTCACGTACCTATCAATGAAAACTAAGTAATCTTAGTCTATAAGGCGCGGTGCAGATTACCAATGGCAGAGTAGCGTTAACTCTGGTTTGTACTAGCTTTCGCCCGCGACTTCACACGGAATAGAAAAATAATAATAATTATAGTTGTGTCTCCCCATAACAGTGCCTGCCTTATTTTGTTTAGAACAGTATATCGGTGAAAAGTGTAATCACATCTATCTGCAGTAGTTTTTGCATGATGCGGGTGCTAAGAATAGTTATTGAAAGAAAGTTGTTAATGCTTTTTTCTTCATTTTTTTAATTTAAAGAAATTTAGACATCAGCTTAATACAATGTGTATGTATTGTACTTAAATACAATAAGCGTAATAGGCAGATAATATAATACCTACGTAGATGAAATGTTCGGAGAAAACAAAAAGCTGCTATCCTGATAAAATTAACTTTGGTAAGGGCTTACCAAAATATACATTTTATCATATTTGAATCAGTCTTAAAGCTATAAGAGAACAAACAAAATGTTCGTACCTTGCTGTTCCCGAAGGCATGATTAGAGTATAGGAAACGTCTAACTAAACAGGCGGTGCAGGTAGTGCGCACGATACGACCGACGCGGCCGGCTCCCTCGTATTATTGCGTTTGTTCGGGCTCGTGTGCGTTCTGTAAACACGTGTTTTAATCAAGCCTGTTGCTTCGTTTCCGTTTGCTGCGGCCACTCGACGCTCAGCAAAGAAAAACTTTGCATGTGTTTTATTACGACGGATGCGGAACACCCTCAGGGCTTAATTTCGATGTCGACCTGACTAGATTTAATTGTTTTATTGTATGCCAACAAATATACAAAATACGTTTAGGTTTGTCCTAAAATTGAATTTCTGTTTAAGTTCGCTATTCTTTTGTTCCACTTCTATTCGTTTAGTTTGCCTAAAAATACACATACCTTACTGCAAACATCATACCATGTCGACATATCTTTTCTAACCAAATTAAATTCTCTTGTTTTGACCAATGATTATATTGCTCGTTTTCTCTTTCCTTTACACAGATTAAATCTCATAGCTACCTAGATCCTAAATTTCCAGTTATTGGATCTTGGAAAACGAACGCGACAGACGACGATGCGTTGCTCTGCGTAGCTGTCGGTTTCCCCGCCTTTGTATCCACCCGACAAAAAGGGTGCTCATTGACAATGTGCATCCATTCCTTCTCCTTTGGAGTTGGGAACGGGGTGAAAGTGAAAAATATGAGGTACATACATTACATTACACACGTGATAAAAATATAGGTAGATAGATATGATGGTATGATTCCCATTTATTTGTTAGATAAAGGTAGATATGCTTTAACAAAGTGTTCCTTCGGGACTTCGGAAAGGTTGTAAACTTTTTATGCGACACATTAGTGACTATTTTTGCAATAACAGCATTTTACCAATATTTAAGTGTAGGAGAGCCATGCTTCGGCACGAATGGGTCAGCTCGACCGGAGTGATACCACGGCCTCACAGAAAACCGGCGTGAAACAACTACAACGTTGTGTTTCGCCGCGTGTGTGAGGTTATCAGAGGCCCAATCCTTCCCCTCCCCCAATCCTTAAATATCCGAATCCCTAATAAGTCGGCAACGCACTCGAAATTCCTCCGTTGCCGGTGTCTATGGGCAGCGCTGAATTTTGCCATCAGGTAGTCTGTCGGAACGTTTAACGACAGATTACATAAAAAAAATAACAAACCAACCACGGTGATGGTTGATCAAGAATGATGAACAATAAAGAAGAGCGAAGATACAAGTAAGAGCTTTCCATTTTATTATTTATAAATTTATTTATTTTAAAAATGTCTAACACAATTGCCGCATTTTGTGGGGTCCAGAAATAGATCTTGGAAAACATGAATAAGTTGTACATTAAAGAAAGTATAACACCCCTTTTTGGGCAGTCGTGTGAAAAAGAGAGGGCATAGAAAACCTCGCAAAAACGTCGATTGTTGTTAAGGCCTACTAAAAATAGCGGCTACTGCGCAGCGAATCGTTAGCTCGATTTCACAAAATCTTGTTCCAGGTCTGGGTCTGATGTGTAAGCTGAAATTGTAGGTTCAAAAACACACTCTACGAGTTGTACCTAGTAACTGTAAAAAAAACTAAACTAAAAATGAAAAGTAAGTGAACATAAGTAACGATATTGACGTTTGGTATCTACTAACATTAAAAAAACGGATTTTCGGTGGCCACCAATACGGTTTTTCAACTTCTGAAACCATACTGATCGATAAAAAACAGCATTAGGTAAGTACTTAAATTTATCTGTGGCATTGAATAATAGAAAAGATAAGTCTATAAAGAAGAATAAAAATTATTTAAACCAAAGAAGCTCCAACCAACAACTACCTACTAGCTTAAAAGAGATTCATGACAATAAGTACCAATGAATACCTTAATGCATGAAAAGTCTAGAAATAACTATGTACTTATCAAGTATATTTCTAGCGCCAAGGACCGACTTTCCACGTGTGGGAACTGTTTCTTATAAATAAATATTTTTGACGAAGGATATCTCGATTTCTGCAACTTAAATCTTATCAATGGTTTCGTAATACTAGAACATACTTATCTACGTAAACGATTATATTTAAATATATTAATAACAGTTATTAATATGACTAATTGAGGTTCATGTAGGTACACTGAATAAATTAGTTACACCAATGGATATATTGCAATCAATTTACCACGCGATTTTAAATACTTCGTCATGTTTTGTTTACAGAGCAATGTCGTTCCCCAATCGCGGAATCTTCCCATTGCCCACGATAATCGAGATGAACAATTTTATTGCGCTCGCGGGCAGAGGAGGTTGCGGGAGGGGCGGCGGTACATTCGATTAAAGCTCGCTGTACACGGAAATTATCAAACGAAACGCACCGACAACTCAGCGGGCCGTGAGAGCCTCTACATTAATAGTTTTTGTTTCCCAACTCGCTCGTTTCGTCGCAGAAAGGTAAAGTTTGGTCCAGTTCTTTTTTTCTTTTATGAACCGTCTATTTTCCGACACCTCTCATTTTGAAACTCTTTCAGTTGTCGCTTATTCAATATTGAGCTCGTTGCATCTACATAATGCCTGCCATACGAACCTTTGTCTATTGTGATTTAAAAATTTGTACCTTCAAAGAATAAGTTTCCTTTCAAGCGCGCTTTAGTTCGCGTATGAATGTCACCTAAAGTTTAATATACTAGGTAGAGGAACTCTTTGATACTATGCTGTATGTAAAATTTATGCAATTATATGTAGGTAAATTTCCAATCGGACAGCAACTCCTGCATTTTATATAGGTACTTCATTTACATCTTCAAATTTGACTTTAGACTAAGCATCCATCCAAGTCTCGAAGTAACAGATTAAATAAATTATAAAAGAAAAGTTTTTTTTTTATTTACGTTGGTAAGAGGTTCAGTAGATATTTCAGCTGTACAGATAACAACTGCACATTTGTT